CCCTCGACTCTACTTTAAAGAGTCCTTTGTCAAGGATCTCTTTCTTAGCCTTGGGGGGAACAGGCGGCATGCTACGGCCGCCTGCAAGAAGGGGCGGATTCCTGTTCCACCTATTGAAGCGCTTGTTCAGCTCAATGTCTGAACTCTCAATGATGAGGAAGGTACTCCGCCAGTCCTTCCACTTGTTTGCTTTACCTCTCGTCATGAGGTAGCCCCTGTGGCTTGTTAATTGATACCAGCCGGTATCGCCTGTCTTAGGGGTCCGGCTGAGATAGTTCATATGGGCGAAAGCCTCGAAGCTCGGCTCCACCCCGTGCAGTTCGCACCCGGCCACATAGCCGAGTACGTTGACCCAGGAGTTTGGGGCTAACTGCCATAACCCCAACTCATACCCATCCAAAATCCGCTGAACAGCCGGATGTAATGGGAAGCGCAGCCCTGCCTTGATCGCCGCCTCGTAGCAGCCAAAGCAGGCGCTATCATAACTGGAACCAGCCGGCCAGACGACTGTGTCTTCTAGATCCGGCACAAACACTAGAAAGTCGGGGCCCATGGTGTGGTTTGCAATAAAGCTCTCCATTTTCTCTTGCATGGTTGTGATTCGGCCCCGAGGTACCGTGCAGTAGTAGGGGGTATTTAGCTCTCGGTAAGAGGCGGATGGTTCCGCCCAATTGTCCCCCTTCTCAACTGTGTGAGAAAGTCTCGCCTCTTGCAGGCGGCTGTTTTTCTCTTCTGTACCCAAAGAAGCATGGCCAGAAGAGCTTGACGAGGAGTCGTCCTCGGACGAGTCTGAAGAGGACGACTCCTCCCCTCGCCCGGAGGGGCCCGCCTCCTCTCTTTGAAAAGGAGCAGATTTGTTAACTGTTAAATTGGAAGGGGTCACTATGACTCCCCCCACAGAATTGCCGGCATCCAGGCCGCCTTGTCTCACTTCAACATCTGGCGCCTGGTCAGATGTTTCACTAATCGGCACCCTGTGGGAGGAGCCGTCTGAATTTGAGATCCTAGCTGTCTTTTTTGTTCTGGCCATCCTGCTCTGCATAGACACAGATACAGTCGGACTTTGTATAAAGGGCAAAGATGGGTCCGGAAAAGGGCAGGCGACACTCCTAGTCCTAGATTCAGCCGTCCCCGGTGACCGGCTGATCACTAACCTAGGTCGTGTCGTGTGCTTCCGTGGTGCCATTTCAGAAAATAAAAAGAAAATTAAGAGTAAGAGAACTGAGTTACCTGAACGAGTGACGGTTGATGAAGTTTTGGAAATCCGGTGCAGTCGGCTTGTCAGAACAGGCGGTAGGCAGACTTGTCCAAAATGTCAGAGCAAGTTCAGGGGTCCGAATGTTCTCAAATAGTTCTCAAAGTGCGAAAATGACTCAAGGCAACTCTCCCTTATATAGGCGAAGTGAGAAGGCGAAGGGTCACTTCCAGAATTCAAAATTTGGGCGGGAAAATCTCTCGTCCATTCGCCGACTGACACCTGTAGCAGGCCGTCGCCCGTTACAGTGCGACACCTGTCACAGGTAACACGTGACCAATCACGTGCCACCTGTGAGGGGCAAATGATTAGGGGATTTTGCTCCTACCAATCGGAATGCGCCACGTGGGCCAATCAGGACCTGCCAAGTGTCCCCTAGTTGGAACTGTCAGGGCTTGCCACGTGGCACGCGCTTATTCGTCCACCTTGGACCTGTTATGTCACGACATGTGGCATACTCCATGCCTAATGGAGAAACCGGCCACCCAGGCCCAACTTCCGAGGGAAGCCCAATCGGCCCTAGGTTTACCTAAACCTAGGATGGGCACGTTTCCCAAGGTTATAAATACCTCCCTTAATCCTCATTAAGGGGGGGGGGGACAAAAACAACACGCGAAAAACATTACGGAACACACTAATAACCGGATGATCTCGCTAACAAAGCAGATTACCTACATTAAACATTCTCACCTAGAGAGACCTTATTACTTTAATTTCCGCATTAATTACTCCTTAATCAGGTACTAACTTGACCGTTGGAGGCAGAGCTCACAGGAGTCTCCGTTATTTTGCAGGTACAGACGTCCGGTTCCAGTCTCGGAATTGTAACTCTCCCGCAGGACATCAGAAAACCCCGAAACATAAACCATCTTAATTCAATAGCGAATTCGACAATCTGTTACTTTTGATTCAAGATCGAGGAAAATATTTAAAAAATTAATTGAATGTACTACAATATATATAAAAAAAAAGGTCTACAAAAAAATTTTGAAATCCAAATTAGTTTGAGACAATTCTTAATCTTTCTAGAGTGGTCCTTGGTGAGTTGGATATTCGATTACTTGCTATCGATTCTCATCTTTGAATTTGATTGCTCGAAAAGACATAAATTTTATTCCCCAAAAAAAAAAGAAAATCCCTTTCCGTACAACTTCTTCATGGTAGTGAAAGGTCAAAAAATACACAAATAATTTATCTACTGCAGCTGTGATGGTGTTTAGTGATAGGCTGATAGCTATATTTCATAATTTCTTCAGGTTTTGCCTAACTTTTTAGCACCACTATAACTTACCACAAATTTACTTCATTTTACTTGAAAAGAAATGTACTTATATTTTTAGTAGACCAATACTTCACCTAACAATTGGTTATTATCAGTTGCCAACTAAAGTCTAAGTTATTATGCCAAAATAACAACCCAAAGAATTTACTTGTAAACATGTTTTAAATCTTTGATACCATAAAGTGGCAAAGCATAGATTAGAATAGGGTCAAATTTGATTCTAGTAAAAATTAGGAAAAATTGTCAAAAATAATACAAATTTTGAGTAGTCTGCCAAAAACAAGTTAATCTTTTGATTATTTCTAAATAATAAAACTTTTTTTGGGGGGGGGGGGTGTCCGCTTTAAACAAGATAATTTACCTACAACTTATATGACCAGTTAACTTTTTTTTTTTTATAAATAAAAGCATTTGACAATATAATTTACTTCTAATCAAAACTTATTAATTTTGTGTTAAAAAGAAAATAATTAATTAACTTATTATTATTATTTTTTGAAAACATTATTATTATTTAAAAAAAAAAAAAACCCTACCACTACCACCCTTCCCACTCCCTCCAACAGCCGAGCCACCCCCTGCCCCACCCCCGGCTGCCATCCAAACCACCTCCCTCCCCCTCGCGCCGGCCAGCCGATTAGCCTAGCCCCACCCCTTCCCTTTCCCTTCCTCGGTTCCCCACACAACCCTCATCACCGGAACCCAAAACCACCGGCCCAAACCCGAAATCCAAACCTTAACGAATTGGGGATGGTTTGGGCTATGGGATTTCGAGTTTGGGTCTGGGGTTTCGGGTTTTTGGTCGCGCCGGCTTACGGTGGAGGAAGGGGAGGGGGGGGGGGGTTCAACGTTCCGGTTAGGGGGGATGGGAGGGGGGTCGAATCGGGGCAAGGGAATAGGAGGGGTCGAATCGGCCCGGTGCTAGGGGGATGGAGGGGTTTGGGTAGCGACTGACGGTGGGAGAGGGGGTGGTGGCTGGGCTGTGGTGATGGATGGTTTTTTTTTTTTAATAAGGTTTTTTTCATTTAATAATAATAATAATAATAATAATAATAATAATAATAATAATAATAATAATAATAATAATAATGTTTTTTTAAAAAAAATAGATGTTTTAATAATAATAATTGGTGGGTTTTTTTTTTTTAAAAATAATATTAATATTAATTAAATTTTTAATAATTAAAAACACTAAATAAATTAAAAACGATGTAAAAAAAATAAATTAAATTATCAAACCAATAAAACGATGACACATGTCCCATATAACCTGTTAAACAAGTTACCAACAGATCATAACTTGTTTAAAGCGGACACTCCCTAAAGTTTGTATTATTTAGAAATAATAAAAAGATTGACTTGTTTTTGGCGGACCGCTCAAAGTTTGTATTATTTTTGACAATTTTTCCTAAAAATTATGACCAATATTTGCAAAGGGACCTTCCACCGGGGCCATTTGGAGCTTGGCCTAAGTAAATTATTGCAATTAATTAGTTAATAGACTTAGATTAACATATTTTACCTATAAAATATTAGGACATAATAATTAATTTTGAGCAAGAAGTAATTAAAATTCAAATCCCAACCCCTCTAATATTTGTGGCCAAGATCCGCCACTTATTTATAAAAGATACTTGTTATTACAAGTGAAACATAAAAGTTTAGCTCTTTAAATTGCTTGTTTGTCATATCTTCTACGTATAAGGAGTCTTTTTTAGTTGCTCGATTGCATACGATATGCTCAACTTGATCTAAACTGCTTATTCGTGTCACCCGTTCAATATTAGGATCGTTTGGGTTCATTAACAACTACTGATCGAGTAGAATCCTTGTTATATTGAATTGTTACCAACACGTTAAACACATATTAGTTGTGCTTTGATTGATAATATTCTTTAGAAGCACTGAAGCATGATAATTGCAAGGATAAATTGGGCGAATTTATACGACGACACCATTATACAAGTATACATTACCAGCAACATGTAAAAGACAGATTTACCCTTATGACCAAAAACCAAATAATGGTTATAAATTATAATTGAGCAATGAGGCATTCAATTTAGCTTTAAGTCTTTTTTTTTTTTTTTTTGGGAAGATTTTCAGCTATAAGTCTATTCAATTCTTTGTGTATCTCGTTTTAAAAAAAATAAAATTCTGTGTATCTGATTATATTTAAGATTATTGTCAATTAGTCACATTAATTTTCAAATCGGACCAAGTTAGGCAGGTTAAACTAGTTTCAGGTTAGATAATTAAGTATGGTTCAATTTTTGCTGCATCTTAAAATTCTTATTAATGGTAGTAGAATTTCCAAAAATACACGTTCATATACATAGTTCTAGTTATGGAGAAATATAAAGGTCCAAATGGAAATGCACAAAATAGGAGAATTTTGTCCTACAAAAACTTCATGTCAGACAAAAAACTAAAGTAATTTTTAGCAATATGAAACAAAAAGGAAAAAAGCAACTGACAATTCCCCAACGAGTAAATCAAAATGGTTAAAAAATAATTAAATAAATAACAATTTCTTTTTCGACTTCATCTAGCACCTCATCTCAATTAGAAATTTTTTTCGTCTACCAGTTTAAAAGAGTGTTTAACCAATAATCATACAGACGCTGTACGGCTGGTTAGCGTTATCTACGGCTGAATGACAAATAGAGGCTGCAAAGGCACCAAGACAAGTCAAAGATGATTTTTGTTGGAAGCAGAAAACAAGTTTGTATACTCCATAATAAAAGCATTCAAGAAGGGAACTTACTGTGTCTAAGCTGACGGGTTTCCCATCTTCTGCTACAACTTCGACAACTGTCCCGGCTTGATCAGCCTACAGAAAAAAGTTTTTATCAGAATTTACAATTTGCAGGCCATACAAACCAAATTGTTGCCATCTTAAGATGGAAATATAGAAGTGTCCATCTATTATGAACATAGTTTTCACTCATCTTTTGATCATCATGAAGGATCTATAGACTACATACAATACTGAAGACGGAAAAGTGCTGCACTTTATGCTGATTGATCATCAAAAAAATTTTCTCTTCTAAGGCGAAGTCATTTCAGCTAGCAGAAGGTGTGGCCGTTAGGCTACCAACTCAATCAAGTTTTACCTCACACATCAAGAATCAAATTGGCCAAAGGGTCCCCTACTATTTGAAAGCGAAATGAAATCAGGATCTGCCAAACTACAATTGACCGATCCATATCTGGAAATTATAAAACAACTTAGCTATTCAGTCAGCTACAATTTCCCAAAACAGCTTAGAGAAAGATTGTTATGAGGTGAAAGAGGAAAGTGACATTGTTGCAATAATGTGAAAACAACAGTAACTCAGTGCGACTGTGTGGCCTAAAAGGCCCAGAGGGAGCACTTGTTAAATCTCTAACAGTGAATGCTGATGGGGCAGGAAACAGAGAAAGGTCAACCCTAGGCTGGGATGTGGCATGCCCACCTCACAAGATTCTACAACAGAAAGGCTAAATCATAGACAAAAAAGTTCGATCCTAATAAGAAACAGTAGCAATAAGCCTAGCAAATGCAGGAAAAAATCTTTTTAGGAAGCATGGAAGAAAGAAAATAGGTGACAAAAAAATTGATCAGTCAAAAATCTGAAACTGCAATGGGAACAGATAAGAAAAATGGACATTAATAAAAACCATGCAATAGCAATTTATCATAATCCATAAACTTATACTCCATTAAAGTTACATAATTAGAGCAATGCCAACGCTGGTAAATAAAATTCTTCATGAGGTAAAATTATGAGGAAAAATTTCACTCTACATCTTCCATCAATGGGGTGGGTTGGTCTTCCTCATGGGGAAAGAGAGTTTTCCTCACTCGGTGAGAAAAAATTGGTTTCATTATCAAGAAAACAGAACAAATTAGATCCTGCCATGTGTCCCTATCAGCTCTATTTGTAACGTTACTATTTTTAACCGTTGTTTTTAGCCAAAACTTTTTTAAATAAAAAAGAAGATATATATCAATGATCATACAATTTTGAGATCTATAAATGGAGACCATTTTATTATATTTTTACACAATTTATAAAATTACTTTTCTCTATCAAAACAAATTAAATCAATTTTCATTCCCCAACGCTTTGTTTGGATAGAAGGAAAGAGAAGGAAAAAGAAGAGAAAGGGAGGAGGACAATTTCTCTTGTTTGGGTGAAGGATTGGGGAAAGGAAGGAAAAGGAGAAGGAGGGATCCGTTTTCCCTCTCTCTTTAATAAAAATAATCCCTTCAAGATTGGAGAGATTTGAAGGGAAATTGGAGTTCACCTTTACCCTCCCTTTCTCCTCCCTCCCCTTCCTCTTCTTTCCCTCCCTTTTCTTCTTTCTTTGCTATCCAAACAAAGTGTAAATATTATTATTACCATATTTTAGATTAATTAAATGAGAGAAAAAGCGAAAGTGGGAGAGCATAATTTTTTTCCTCACCAAATTTTCTCGTGGGAAAAGTGATGTGGAAGAGTGAGAAAGTAAGTAAAGAGAGATTGGTGAGGAAAATTTTACTCATGGATGAGAGTGTTCTTAGACCTCTGAACACAGCTAAATGAGTATGAAAGAATGTTGATTCCATTTCAGCAAGTCAAGTTTTGACTGCTTTCCTCCATACTCACTCATTATAACAAATCCCATCTTTTTATTTAACAGTGATTAGGTATAACCGCATAATGTATCTGAATAGTGATATCTATACAGAGCACTGTGTATAAACCCTAAGAAATCCAAGATTACCCATATTAAGTAGCAATTCCATTGAATATGGTCTTGCATTGGACCTTGTTTGGGGGTGGATGTGGGATCTTCACCTTTTGCACTACATCAGGATTATGACACAGAACATTCAACGCAAGTATAATCAGCATTGAGCGCATAAATAAGAGCATTATGCATGAGCCTAACCAAGGTCCAAATTATGGTAAAACGTGTTTCCAAACCTATTTCTTTTTTTTTTTTTTTTTTGAAGAAGTATTTCCACAACTCTAAAATGCTCAATAAAAGAGACTTGGGTTTAGCTATGGTGAACTTTGAAGCAATATTGTCAAAACTCAACTAACCAAAAGCTAGGCCACCTAATGCTTTTGACAAAGTGCAGAAAGTGTTGATGTGAAGCCAACTGTGCAAAAATTTACTTAACCTACACAAGTTTAGCCTGACATGAAAGTAACGTATCAATACCATATTGGCGGTCAGTGGAATGGACATGCTGTTTTTATTCCTTCCATTTTTAATAAATAATATGTCAACAAAATTGAGAATATGTTTGTAATGCTCTTTGTTGGTCGATTAGCAGCATAAAGCCATAAAAGATTGTGATATTAATGGCACTTCTCTCATTGGTATTAAAAGATCCACCTCCAACAGATAAGACCATTCATTTTATTAAGTATATTTTACATGGATTTCAGAAATCACAACTGAAAGGTAGACAAATATGTGAGCATGGAGGATCAGGAAAAAAAACCCCTCAAGTTTCAAACTGACATACAATAACTAATTCTCATGATGTTAGCTAAATAACATGAAAAAAATATATTACGGAGTAGGATAGAATGGTAGCTATCAAAATTATCATAATCTAAGCAGACTATAGATCAGAGACTTACTTCAATTTCGTTCATTAACTTCATGGCTTCAATAATACATACAACCTGTCCTTTCTGCACTTTGTCTCCAACCTATTATAGTAATATTGGGAAAAAAAATTAACTCAAATTTAGTTACAATCTACAATGAGTCAATGATGGTTGAAATAATGAACTTGAACATGCAAGATAAATAAACAAATTTCAAGGCCATTACGGAAAAGCAAGTAAAAATACTAACCTTTACAAATGGTGGGGAATTAGGTGCAGGACTTCGATAAAATGTCCCAGACATAGGGCTCTTTAGGGGAGGAACTGATGACTTGGCTGGCTTGGCAGCTGGTGGAGCAGGTGCTGGGGACGTTGTGGGTGCAGGGGTGGCTACTGCCAAAGAAGCAGGTGGGCTAGCTTGTGGTGGTGCAGTAGGTGTAGAAGGTGCCTGCATCATATACATAGGAGGGGGTGATGGTTGTGAAATGGCTTCCGTTTTACGAATCAATAGTTCACAGTCATGTTGCTTCATCTGCAACTCCACAATGTCTCTTGAGTCTACAAGCCTGCAAAATAATAAAAAAGATTTGTCACATATTTAAGCTTGATTAAATTACATACAAAGAGAAAGAGTAACTAAGTCCAGTACTTGATAAGACCAGCAACTTGGGTGATAAATTCAGATATAGATTCCTCTGTAGGCACTGGTGTTGAAATAGACTCACTTGATGGCTTGCCATTCTTTGTCTCCTTTGCAGAAGCTTCAGATTTACTTGAAGCTTCACCTCTGCTAGCCTTTGGAGACAACAAAGTGGGAAATGAATATCAATGGAGAAATTTCTTGGAATAAGGATAATCCTTGAAAACAAAGTTACAAGAAGCTTACATTGTTCAATTGGGCCTTAGCTGCAACAGAATGTGTGATAACAGATTGGGAACTCTGCAATAAAACAAGAAAGAAGAAATTCTTAATGATGCAGAATTGCAGATGCCCCAACAACACCTACCATTCTCTAATTTCCCTCTCTTCTACAATTTCTTTAATACTTCACTGTTTGCTTTTAATTGCAGTTTGCTTTTGATTGCAGTTTTACCCTATTCATACGCCCTACTTTGACCATAACTTTTACTTTTTAAATCAATGTATTTTTGTACAAGATTGTTTGATTCGTCCCCATGTATACTTCCAAAAAATAAACTTCTTATAATTTTTACTAATACATGGTTAAAGATATTAATGGTCAAAATAGTGTGTTGGCTAGTGTGAAAATTAAAATGTTGCAGTTAAATGAGTTAGTATAACTTAGTATAACTTTGATTCAGGAGTGCTTCACATTTTTACCATTTAAAAGTACAATTATTTTACACATCACACATAATGAGTCACAACAAGAACATCCAAAATGCAATAATATGCCCGACCAAAAAAAAAAAAAAAAATGCAATAATATGATGTGTTGTGCTCTGGGAGTGTCTGGGACTATGGGTGGGAGGATACTTTTCTTACAGAGCTATACTAGCTATATTCAACAAAACTTTGCATAGCTTTGGTTAATTCTATAGGGTCTTAAATGCTAATCTTATATCAATTCAATCTTTTAAAAAATTCAACTGTTATGTCAAAGACTGAAAATGTTGGCTATGAAACAATTTAATCAAATAAAACAAAAAATCAGTTTCATAACTTGAAACAACCTTTTGTGTTACACTCAATTGAGGAAAAGAAAACATTGTTTAGGATCAAAGCAAGAAATAAAGAGACAAAAGGAGAATAAAGGGAAACATAAAAAAGCAAAAGGATACTTTCTTATATGAGAACTAGTAATAGATTATATATGGCCTTCATATGCCATAATTTCTAGCTTTTTTTTTGCAAATGAATGTTCTTGCATGCTTTTTTGTGGGGGTAAATATTAAATTTTGACCTAACTATATTGCAACGTTATAGTTCCTTGCAAACAAATGCAATAGGAAATATTTTTTTCTCATATTCGTGCCGGACAAAAGATTTAACTCACACAATGAATCCTTTACTCCTATAACTACTACTCCTTCCACCCCTAAAAGCATGCACCATATTCCATTTTGGGTGTCCTTAAATGAATTCTCCATTCCATTCATGATCGTGTGGTCTCATTGCATTACTCTCTCGTCAACATGTAGTCCCACACTCCCACTAGTTTACATTTTCATCAACTCCACTCATCAACATATACTTTTAGGGATCCCTAATAGGGATAGAGGAAATAATCAAGATCCCACATAACTCTATAGTTTATCCTCAAGAAGATAGTTTAGTTGGAGGGAACATAGCCTACGAGGCACAAACACGCACTAAAGGGGTTAAAACCTTGGCCATTTTTGCACTCCTCGGCCAATTGATTGAGACACATTAACTTTTCAACAAATAATCTTTCTCTTTCTCTATGAATGTATCAAGCACATTTTCCAATACTTGTATTTATAACAGCACTATGCACTACTATTTCTTAAAAGCTTAAACTGCTCAAAAGTTCTTTTATCTATCAGCTACACAGAAGTACCTTCAACTTAGCAAGACCACCAAACCATCACAACCTATATTTCTCTGGTGTTGCCTATTGCACTATAAGTGCTGAGAGAAACTAGCTCAATGAGACAAATCAAGAATTTAACCCAAATCCAAAGTCTAAACCTTTCATCATCATCCAATTCTCAGTTAAGTATATGTTAATTGTGAATACTTCATTTAAGCCCTATAACAAGCAAACATCCATGGAAATATTTTCTCTCAAGTTAATGGCCAAACACATGAAACCTGGCAAGAGTTTCCACAAAAAATTGCCGGACAAAAGTTTAACTCAAAAACCGAATCATTCACTCTTACAGCCTAGCAATTGCTCCATCCCTAAAAGCATGCACCATTTTCCTTTTTTTGGATGTACCTATATAAATGCTCCATTCCAATCAAGATCCCACATTACTCTATAATTTATCCTCTAGAGGGTAGTTTAGGTGGATATAACATGGGCCTAACTCATGAGGCACAAACACGCAGTAAAACGAAACCCCTCAACCATGATAGCACTCCTCAACGAGATGATTGAATACATTAACCTTTCAACACATAATCTTCCTCTTTCTCCACGGAAGGAAGTATCGAGCTCATTTCCACTAGTCGTATTCATGACAACAGTAAGCATTAAAATTTCTTAAAACCTAATATTGCTCAAAAGATCTTTAATCTATAAACTTGCTCTCTTGCTCAACTATACCCAGTCATAATAATGGTGAACGCACTTACAGTGTATAGCAGCAGCAAAGATCACTACACAAAAATGCTCTTATCTATATTAGACCACCATCCCATCACAACTGAAAACCTATGGTCATGAAATGATGTCTATTGCACTATTCATGTAATGAGAAATTAGCTCAAAAGAGACGAATCATATGTTAAGATCATTTCAAACAACCCCACAAACTGAAATTACCCGATATCATCCATGCAAAGTCTAAACCCTTTCATCATCATCATCCAATTCTTAGTTGTTCAAGTGTTAATAATACTCAAGCTCCAAAACAAACAAACATCCATGGAGCTTCATTATCTAATTTTTCGAAAATTGGATGTTTTCGATGCTTGATTGAAGCAGGAAAGTTCAAAACAACAAAAAGTACAACTGTACAAGCATAATAAACTAATAAAGTACCATCATGAATTACCATACAGCTTACAGTACATCTCTTAACTCAAACAAATCATTTTTTTACCAATTCGTTTGAGCTAATTTGTCCACTAAAAAGGCATGACTTCACTAATCCTAATTCCAAACCCTTTCCAAATCACAAAAAAAAAAAAAAAAAAAAAAAAAAAAAAAAAAAAAAATATCATGAAAATAACTCCAATAGTAGTAGCATTAAACATTCAAAACATTAATCCATTTATAAACACAAATCCAATTAATCTCCAAGATTTAACAAATTCAGAGTTCATAGAAATTAACGAAAATGTATTAAATAAAACCATAAAAAGCATTAATTAAAACACTGCTGAAAAACATAATACTCAATACGATCAACATTTCATAACACACAAATTAAATCCAAAATACATCATTAATCGATCTAGCACATACAAATCAAATCAATCAAACAGATCCAGTAAAATAAACAGAAATTAAAAAAATAAAATGAAAAATGAAAACCTTGGAAAAAAGACGAAGCTCGGGTTTAGAGGAGAGAGAAAAAGCAGCATTGGAAGGAGAGAGAAGTTGACGACGGCGGGCGAGGAGAGAGAGTGAAGAAGGGGTGGTGGTGTTAATGGCGGATTTATCGGCGACAACAGCGACGGCTGCTGTAGGAATGCACGACGACATTGTAATAGTGTTAGTGTTGGTATTGGTGAGTTAGTTGGACTACTTTGTGTTGCAGTGATGAAACCCGATAAATTTGTGGGAAAGGTGGGAAGAAGTAGAGATTGGAATTTTGGTTTGGGGAGCAGGAAGAAACTCTGAGTTTAAGATTATTTATTTATTTTTTTTTTTTTTTTTTTTGAGTCTCAACTGAATTTTGTGGGGTCTCATTTATTATATTTTCACATTTTTTTAAAGTTTGAAGGAAAGGATTTGATATGGAGGCCCATGGGCTTAAGTTTGTTTTGATCCATTGTTTGTTTCAATAGCCTGTTAAGTTGAGGGGCTACAAGCTTTCCATGAAAAAAAATACTCTAACTTGAAATTTTTTTACTCCCTCTATCTCATAATACATGACACAGTCAACATTGTACCCATGTCAATGCACTAGTTTGACTTTATTTTTATATAATTAAATATTAATAAAAATTATTTTAAAAATTATATTATGAAACTTTATATTAATACATATCTAACAACCTCTCATAGGTTTAGCCAGCACAGGTCCACAAGTCAACGCTTGAGAGTAGAAGAGAGAGGTAAGGGAATTCCCCTACTTCCAAGCATTTTTTAGTTATTGGGGCTCGAACTTGTGACCTCATAGTCACAAAGTGAGTTCCCCACCAACTCCGATACCTAACTTGAAATGATATGATTGATTTGATTAATTTGAAAGTTACAAAATACGACGTACTCTGTATTATTTAAAGGCCCTCTATCTAGAAAAAGACCGATAGAATCGAGAAGCACCTCATCTTAGAGATAGACTAATATATTGAGATGAACGAGTATTATTTTAGTTTCATAATTATATTGTTGCATGATAAGGTTCAAAATATGTTTTCTAGTGGAGAAAACTCTAAAACATTTAGGCCTTATTTAGTTCACCTTATTTTTACTTATTTTAGAAAAAATAAGTTCAGATCAGATCAGATCAGAAAAAATAAGTTCAGATCAGAACATCGTTTTATGTGCGGTTTTTTATCGCTAAAAATTCTTAATTTCGTAATGAAAAGAATTGTGAAAATTACATATTAATAAACTACGCATTATTACGAATCTAACAAGACCCCACTTGATACATTTTTTCCTTATAGATTATCGTACACTTAAGGTCAAAGTTTGGTCAAATCAGACAATCAGATCAGATCAGACCAGACCAGATCAGATCAAATTAGTAAAAATAAGGTGAACCAAACAAGGCCTTAGTGTCTCCCTACTCACTCCTTAAAGATATTACATCGTATATATTTATTCTCGTTAGGGCATAGTCTCCACTATGGAATTGATTCACCCCCTAATTTTACATTGATATATATAGTGGAGACTGGAGACTATGCCCTAACGAGAATAAACATATACAATATACCTTTTATTTGGAGCAAACCCTAGTTAATCTTTATGATTGACGAGATTCGTCAATCTAATGACATTGCTATAATATTGAAGAACGGTACTCGGATGGATGAATAGTACTCCACCGACACCACCATTGAAGCTTTCTTCATTGAAGTTGTCTTCTTCTTCGTTCCTCGATCTTCACCGACCTTCCATCAACACCACCATTTCCATCATCTTCCTTGTGTTCACCTTCTACCGACACCATCTTCATCATCTCCACCTTATACCAGCAACACCATCGATTTTCCAATCCGACGGCGAAATTCAACGAAAACCCTAGAAGGGTAAAATTAAGGGGCATACTCAACCCCAAAGGGTAGGGGTGACCACGTATATCCTCCATTATTAAAGTATGTTTGATCTTGATTTTTGAAAATGGAGTTGAGAATAGTGGGAATGGCGGATATCGGGGAAGCAATAATTAGAAGGGGGAAGGTTTAAAGGAGGAGGAAGAAGAAGGAGCAAGCTTTAATGTAGGATGAAGGAAGCTTTAATGGAGGATGAAGGATGAAGGAAGGAGAAAAGAGGAAGGAAGAAGTAAGACCCTGTTCTTTTGAGCTTTTGGGTGAGCAGATAAAGCGGATGCCAGCAAAGTAGAGCAGAGCATATTGAGTCAGCAGAGTAGAGCAGAACAGGGCTTAGCAGAGCAGATTTCAGCAAAGCAAAACAAAATAGAGCAGCTCAAAAGAACAGGGCCTAACACAATTGTTATTTAGTTTACAAATCATCCGAAACAACACCCCTAAATAATTCATAAAATTTCGATTTTACCCTCTTTATTAAGATATTTTGTCAATCATAAAGATTAACTTGTATTTTCTTTTTTATTTGTCAAAAACAAATATAACTCTATTTGCTTAATATTATTTCAACATTTAATTGACGTTTATTGTTATATATAACTATACATGATGTGTGCATTGAGATTGTGACAAGTTTGTGAATCACATTCTATGCTTTACGGAGTATTGATCTTTCAAACCAAAGAAGTACTCATTATCAATATTGAGTATAACCAATATTAAACTATGTACCGAGCTAATAATTATAACACTTAAAAAAATGGTGGGAATATATTGATGATCAATGAAACACTCTACAATCAAGGGAGATTTTATAAACAAATATGACCAATAATCACATTAGGTTAGAAAAATACCTTTCACCAAGTTTTGTTTGTGTTGCTTCATAAGATCTATGATACCTCTCTTTCCTAGCTTGTGTCTTCCTTCTCTAGCTTCCATCCGTTAGATTCGTACAACCTTATGCCACCCTTTAATTTGGCCGTCATGCATGAATGCATTACCAAGAATAGTGATTTTTTTTAAATATTAGGACAATTGTTATCGTAATTGTAGCTCTGTATAAATTGATCGATAGAATAGAAGAGGCCAAGTGACAACTTATGTATATGATAATTTGTATTAAAATCCTCTTTACCAAGTAAATTGTCAAGCCAAGCTAAGGTTTGAAACAATGTACTCCTACTTTACGTATTTTGCACGTGTGCCAATGACTTTCCACTTCCTGCAAGTTTTGCCTTCACTCACTTCGATCAACAGTAAAACCCTTGATCACCAAGCTTAGTTAAAATAAAAAAAGTTTGATTTGGCCCATTAACGTATGTATGTAATGCATGTCGTCCAAATTTTACTCTCCTCCTTTTTAGATGCCAACTTTTTCATGAGTTGCTTCTACAAGAATCTCTACTGCTTTATTCTCAAGAAATATTCAAAGAACCATACTTTATAAAGTTTATAGTTTCTATTTTTCAACCCTATTTCCAAATAATTTATTATCTATTTGTATATTTCAATTCGTAGATTTGCCAACGATCATTTGCCATTATGTGTTACACTTAATGATGATAATGTTTTACAAAAAAAATAATTAATTAAGTACATTATTGATTAAATTTGATGGAGCTAGATATATTCAGGGGAGAATTGCAACATGATTATTTCAAATCAATAATAGTCTATAGGGTAATTATCAATCCATCAATTTAATTATCCATATAAATTTTGCTAGCACCTAGTACTATAGTAGTATCATCTATAATATATGTAGGGTTTTATTTGAAGTTATAGTCCGTTTAATATTGATGATGAATAAATAAAAAAAGTGTCCTCTCATTATCATGGACAAGCTAATATAACAACTCATATATTAAAAATGATTTGAAATGAAGTTTATATTCTCAACAACATCCATCAATATATTTTTTTCTCTGAATAACAATTACCAAAGGTTGGTTTGCATTGGAGGAATAAAAGTCGGTCAATAGTAAACTTTACATAGATTAATGAATTGGGAAATTAAAATTGGACAATTTATATTAAAAGTGGCTTGTTATCTTTAATTTACCAAGTATTTTTTCAATAATGCCATAGACGAATAGTTACATTAGACACCAAAGTACTAACAGATCATCAGATGTTCCTTAGGACAAGATATCATTCACCGAGATTTGAATCCCCACTTAATGATCTTTTTCTTGCATATTTTCTTGTATTAAGTTCTACATTATTCCCTTTGTAAGCATTGTAACATCACAAATTTTCAAAACACATATCTCTCAGTATTTTTTTTAATGAATTCTAAAGTATTTAGAACATTAGCCATTTTGTCACCAATTCAATAATTGTTGTTTGGATATTACACACACAAATTTAAGAGCCGTTTCTGTCGCCTTAAAGGACTATAGAAGAAGATCTTGAAGGAGACCAAATACCGACGTTAATCTTCCTTTTTGTCTTCAATTGAGTTGCAAAATTTGACCCTTAATTCGTTTGGAAATAAAAGAATGGAGTAGACAATATAGAATAGAAGACGAAATTCTCTTTTTTGTGTCTCTATATTATTACAAGTACACATCAGATCATCATTAAAGTAATAAAAGGGAATTTTCATATTTTATGTCACTTTATTTAATTTGATTTAACATTTCACTATATTTGATGGAACAGTATGTTAAACACATGGTATGTGACATATAGTGTAGTTTGTATTTCAATTCAATCTTTGTGAATTGTGATAATTGGTCCTTTTTGCTTCTTTACGTACAAAATGTGCACACTTTGATTGTTATTTCATTTATTGGTAAAATCCAGTATTTGGAGTTGGAGTGATCTGAAAGATTAGTTTATTTTCCAGCTGTTTACAAAGAAGAATGTAAAATTGCTTGTGATGGTGACGAGTTTATCTAAGTTTGTGATTTGTGAAGGATAATCTCATATAAAAGCCGTGGAATATAATTATTATGGGGTGAAACTCATGAACATCATGATTTGAGATTGAAACATTAGTACATTATTTGTTATTTGTGGCTCTCTCAGTAACAAATTATGTAAAAATAAGTAATTGGTTCTTAAGCTAAAGTTCTAAAAATTAAGATTCTATTGATAATTTTAATAAAGAAAATATCATTAGATGGTCTTAATTTCAAGACTGGATTTTCATTAAATAGTGTAGATATCATTTCAAGTTTTCAACGAGATAAGGAATGAAAGGTTAGCAACTTTTTGGTGCAGCAGGCTACATCGTATGACAAGGGTTTCCTGAGTTATTTTGTTAGGTATTACATGAGTTATTCAGTCAGAGGTTACTCGAGTTACTCGGTCAGGGGTTACTTGAGGGGTTTGGACAAGGATTACTCGAGGGGTTAACTCGGTCAAGGGTCACTTGAGGGGTTACTCGGTCAGGGGTTACTCGAGTTACTCGGTCAAGGGTTACTTGAAGGGTTACTTGAGTTACTCGGTCAAGGGTTACTTGAGTTACTCGGTTATGAGTTACTCGAGGGGTTTGTTCATGGATTACTCGAGGGGTTACTCGGTTAGGAGTAACTTAAGTAACCCCTGACCGAGTAACTTGAGTAACCCCGGCAAATCGAGTAACCCCTGACTGAGCAACTTGAGTAACCCCGGCAAATCGAGTAACCCCTGACCGAGCAACTTGAGTAACCCCGACAAATCGAGTAACCCCTGATCGAGTAACTCGAGTAACCTCTATTCGAGAAATTCGAGTAACCTCGGCAACTCGAGTAACCCCCAACCGAGTAACTCGAGTAACCCCTGCCGCACGATACAGCAGGCCGCATACAAAAAATTGAGTTTGAAACTTTCAGGAAAAAAAATAAAATAAAATAAAAAGTTTGAAACTCAAGTTTTAGAATTTAGTCAATCAAAAACATCAATCAAGCTATGGAATATCTCCTAAAATAACCCCATTTCCAACACCATTGATTGCATTATTGTAATTGAGATCAAAGAGTTATACAATTTTTTTTATATTTTTATATTTTTATTTTGTTGTAGTTGTTGTTTAGAGTCACAAGGATGGTTCCTTAAAAAAAAAATTTGTCACAAGAATAGAGTGATTAAAATCAATCTCAGGATCTCCAGGAACCAAGAAGAAAGCTCTAACCACCTGAGCTCTTACAAACTCTCAAGCTTTACAGTTATTAACTAAAGTAATACTACTACAAAATGGAAACTCAAAAACAAAATACTACAGAGTACTCATGAAATTTAAGGATCACTCTTGATTTTTGATTTCATCGAATAGTATGTAAATAATAGGTGTGCCTTTCTCAACCGAATTTCATTTGATAAAGTATGTTATCCCTGAATTTAGCATATCTAATCATTTTGAAATTATGATCATGAATTTAACTTAGTATATGAACTTGTAGTTGTGAAATGAATTATGGTATTTCTAATTGTCTCTTAACTAATTAATCTAATAATACTAACCTTATATTGTTTCCAAAAAAAATAAAAAAAATAAAAAAAATTACTAACTTATATAGTATTCCTTAGTCCTAAGTCATATTTATATGGACCTGTTTTATCGAAATAAGTGAAGACATTGATAAGAACATATAACATGATTTAAGATTTTCAAATTAATTGGAAATAAGTACTCCCTCCGTCTTAATGATAATTCCTTATGGGCAATTTTCACGGAAATTAATAAACATAAATAAGAAGTAGTAAAAGTACATTAGAAAGGTAAATTTATGTTGAGTATGCAAAAAAGTAGAGAGAGAAAGTAATAAAAATACATGGAAGAACAAAATTTACATGAGAAAGTTGAATTTGCACAAATATTGTTGCAAATTGGAGGGAATTTTGGTATAACATTAATATTAATGGTACTTGAAAAATGCAAATGGGACTATGATTTTGGGACTTAAAATTGGCCATAAAAGACTATCAATAAGGGACGGAGAGAGTAAATAACTTTGCCTAATTAATTCAACCTCACTACCATGACTAATAAAGAATCTAAAAAATGAAAACATTAAGTCAAATTAAGCATTAATTATACTAATTTATCAATGCTTATATGCAACCAGTGGTTGCATATAACATTATCCTTTTACGAAGTATATGTACTTTTCAAAAAAAAAAAATATATGTTAAGAAAAAGGGAAAGAATTAGGACCCCCCTCCTCACGAGGGGCGATCCTAAAGCATCTGGGGTGAGAATGGGGTACAAAGTTGAGGAGGTACAAAAAGAAATATCCAATTTGTCGGTGACAAGATGTCCAATATTTGCAATCCAATCTGCTGCTCTATTTGCTTCTCTGTAGACATGCCGAATTTTCCAATGGGGGATTATGTGAAGTAGGATCTTGATATCTGCTATAATGTGATCAATCTGCCACAGGGTCGACTAAATACCGTTCACTGCGTTGACAACTAGGAGGTTGTCCCCTTCAATTTGAAGATTTTGTATTCCTTGTTGGAGGGCGAGGATGATTCCCTTGTGGAGACCAAAAGCTTCAGCTACAATGGCATTGGTGGTTCCAAGGTTGAAAGCTTGTGTTGTAATGGGTGTGCCGTCACTGTCTCTAATGATGACTCCTGCTGCTGCTGAATTGTTTTTGACCGAACCGTCAAAGTTGAGTTTGAAGGAGGTGAGAGGAGGAGCCTCCATGAAACTAATTGTGGGTTGTGGAATGGGTTTGGGATCTTTGCATTGGAGACCCCAAGCTTAAAGAGGTATCTATGAAAATGCAATAATTCCACTCTTTGAACGCAAATTGCGCTCGGTGGAAGGTTCTAGGGATGTCAAAAGTCTCATTCTTGAAAATAATAGAGTTTCGTTCTTTCCAGATACTCCATAAAAGGATGATAAACTTTCGGAGGGAGGTGTTTTTCCGAAGCGTAGATAATGTTGTTATTAAGTCTATGGGTGGAAGTGCACCAGGCAACCAGCTTTGGGTTAAAACGTGGTTCCAAATTTCTTTGGCCCTATCACCAGTAAGAAATAAGTGATCATGAGATTCCGGATAAGTGCAACAAAAGGAGCAATGATTGAAAGGAATAATCTTTTTTTTATAAAGGGTGTCTCTAACTCCAACACTATTATGCATTATTTGCCATAAGAAAATTTGGAGTTTAGGCGGGATGTCTAGTTTCCATATCCAACGATGTGGCCATTTTACAGCATTTGGCTCTAAATTATGTGCTATCCATGTAGCCGACTTTACTGAAAAATTCCCCAAACGCGTAGTGCCCCATACTGGTGTGTTAGCCATTTGAGAGCTAGGTAAGGGGATGCCTATAATTAGTTGTACAATATAGTTTGATAATAAAGAATAAAGTTTATATTTATTCCGATGTCGATCGGGGAGAATAAAGTATATGTTATACTTGTATATTGCATAATAAAAGTTTTTTATCATACTCGTATAGAGTATAATACAAAGATCGCATAAAATTACGAGTAATACTTGGGAAAACGAGAGTGTAGGTTATCACTTATATACGTCAATGTACAAGAAACTAATAAAGCACAACATCAGCCAACCTAATCAATCACACAAAAATATGCACGACAAACATGAAAAAGCACTATTCTTGACAAATTAAGTGAAACAATGAGGAAGTTGGTGGTCAAAAAATACACAAAATTCCGTCGTTTTAGTATAAACCCCATAATTTATCTGCCGGCACCGACTAAAGAAACCCTTCGTCATCACCTTAGCCGAAGCCCTCATTTTTGGGTTACATCGAGTGGTCCAAATTACTCTAATTAACTATTAAACGACCCTACTTCACTACACCTCTTTTTATTAATTATTTAATTAATTAGCTAATTAATTAATAATTTTTACTTTAATTCAAAAATATTTTACAAGAAAAAAAATTATAAAGATAAAGAAAAAAATAATGAAAAGGAGAATGAATTGAATCCATTTGGTGAATATGGGTTTAAAAAAAGTTAGCTAAAAATCAAAGCTAATTTATTGAGCTACCTTAATTATTGGATTAAAGTTTCTTGTTGGTAGGATTACTTATCGTATTACTGATAATAGTCTACTGCTTAATTAATTTTACACCTGTTACAATTTTATTATAGAATAATTCACCTGATTAATAAGTTTGTAATATTAAAGTTAGTAATCAAACTACATGAAAATGGGTTGAATTAATTAATTAATTATGTTCTTTGAGATTAGGTAAGTTTTGTGTTTCTTTCACTATTTGTAGTTATGTTTTGACTATGATTGACGGGGTCTAAAACATGATAGTACAATAAATCAATAATTACTAACAAGGGATAGGTCATTAGGTCATAACTCACAATACAAGATGAAGGATCCTTTGAGAGTTTTGACTAGTAATGTTCAAAGAGGTATGTTTGTGTTTGTCTCACCATAAATTTTGCTTGATTAATGTTAGGACACTATAAATCCGAGACTACTTACACCTTACAAACATGCGTGCAAAGTGTGATCTATATTTCATTGTTTCAACATGAATCACACGTAAATTGTTTTTTAATAGATTTTAACTGATTAACGTCATTATACACAATTTATATTATTTTACCTCAAGCGTGAAATCATATTAGGTTGTTGATGATGCCACAAAAATTACGTGTTTGGCTCTATGGAATTAAGCTATGAACAATTAGAGTGTATTATAAACCCCATTAAACAAAGGAAAGAGTGGATAAGTATACTAAAAGTAAACAAAGGAACACTTGGGGTAGTTTAGTACATATAATAACAACAATTTCTTAACAATTGTTTAAGCATTGCTAATCTTTCAACAAACCCAAAAAAATGATTATATTTTTGTTTCTTTTTATTAAAATTAGTGGACATTTTTTTTATAAGAATCTTCCTCTTCCTCCCCTGAAATTAGGTAATAAAGTGGGTTCCTTGATTGCCACTCCAAATTGAAGTGAAGAATTCCTTAAGGCTATACATATAAGCCCCCCTTTTCCACTATCCTATAGGATAATCTTCAATAACAATGCCCTTCTACTTGAAGTCATCTCTTTAATCATATTTTTCTCTCCTACCTTCCTATTTCATTAAATAACTGTTTCATTCACATTTTTTCTTACAGCAGTCCTTCAGAAAAATGGCCACTTACATGGTTGAGTCGTCTGACAGTGGCTGCGGCTTCATAGGCGGCTTATTTCAACGTCGTAGTCTTTGCTCTAGGAGGTCCTCGGTCCGCTCTTTGCCTTCGAATACAAGCAGTAAGAATGTAACTCAGAAGAAAGATCAGGGTAAGCCTATTGAGGTTTCTGCTGCTGTTAAATGCAGACCTGAAAAAGTTGTGACAGAGAAATCAATTACTCCAACTGTAAAGTCTAATGTGGCAAGTCCGAGGGGTTCGATTTCACATAATCATAATCAAAGTAGAAGACTCTCTGATGCTGCTAGAACTTCCACAACATCTTCTTCTTCCTCTTCAGCTAACAGAATTCAGGAACGACAGTCGTCAGGTGATCAAAGCGAGGCTGGAACTCCACGAGCTCCTTCAGGGAACATACTGCAGTTGGCTCAAATCAATAGCCTGAAACAGAAGTGTGTTACTCCTAACAGTAACACAATTGTCAACAAGACTTTGGAAATTAATAATGTTACTATGGGAAATATACTAAGGAGAAACAGTACTGATGAACCGCGGTTTCAGAGTTCACTGAGTAAATTGGATCCTGAGGAGTTAAAATCCTTGGGAAATGATAAGTATAAGCAGGGTAAATACGAGGAAGCTTTGGTGTTATATGATCAGGCTATAACTATAGATTCTAGTGTAGCGGCCTATCGAAGTAACAAAAGTGCTGTCTTAACAGCCCTTGGTAGGCCCCTAGAGGCAGTTTTCGAGTGCAGGGAAGCTGTCAGAATCGATCCTTCTTATCAACGAGCTCATCATCGTCTTGCAGGACTTTACATAAGGTACTAATTATTTTATTGCATAGTTTAGCAAGAAATGAAAAAATGTCATCTCATAACTTAAAGAAGGCACACGGTAATTCCCCTGTTTATTTTATAGGTCCCTCCTATACAGCAAAGTCACTTGTGTCTTATCATACACGCGTTTTACATAAGAATTACTCTTTTCACTGGTTTGTTTCTCTGTCTATGTTGATAATGACTTGTGTTGTTATGTAAGACTTGGGTATGCAGAGGAAGCGGTCCAACATTTTAGTCTTTCAGGAAGCATAGCGAGTATTGCTGATATAACTCAAGCCAAAGCTCTTGGAAAATGCATCAGTAGGTGTAATGAAGCCAAGGAGCTTAAGGACTGGGGAACTTTGCTAAGGCAGACCCATGATGCATTAGCTATCGGTGCCAATTCTTCGTTACAGGTGCCTAAGTCAATCAATTGCATATCCTAATTGTTAATTCTATAAAGAAATTCTAGACTTAAGGGGTTCTGACATTTTGAATTTGCCTTTATTTCCTGAATTTTGACAAGAAGATCTACGCGCTTCAAAGCCAAGCCTTGCTGAATCTTTTAAGGCACGATGAAGCCTATGCAGCTTTTAAGAAGGCACCTTCTTTTGACATGGATCTTTATACTCAATTATTTGGTGAAACAAAAACCACTTTCCTATACTTAATCAAAGCACAAATTTACATGTCAACAGGCAGGTCAGTGGAGTAACATTAGTTCTAGTTCTTAATGAAGTACAAGGAGGTGAAATATGCTAAAGACTGTTAATGTTTATGTTTGGAGCAGGGTTGAAGACGCGATTACAGCAGCTCAAACAGCAGCACAACTCAATCCAAACGACAAGGAAGCAAGGAAAATGGTAATAAGAACACGGTCTGTGGCAGTAGCAAGGTCAAAGGGAAATAAGCTCTTCAAGGAGTTAAAGTTACAAGAGGCTTGCAGCATATACAGTGAAGGGCTAGAGTATGATCCTTATAACTCTGTGCTTCTATGTAATAGAGCAGCTTGTCGGTCTAAGTTAGGCCAATTCGAGAAAGCAATGGAAGACTGTACTCTGGCACTGAACCTGCAGCCTTCTTACAGCAAGGCTAGGCTAAGACGAGCACATTGTAATGCGAAGATGGAAAGATGGGAAGCTTCGATACAAGATTATGAAATTTTGATCAGGGAAAAGCCAGGGGATGAGGAAGTAGGCCGAGCATTGTTTGAGGCTAAGGTTCAACTCAAAAAACAACGCGGTGAAGATGTCAAAGACATGAAGTTTGGGTCTGATGTAGTTTTAGTATCTAGCATCGAGTGTTTTAGACACTTGATCACTTCTCCAGGTAACCATACAATATTTCCAAAACCTAACTAGTTAGTAGTCATATTTCATATACCTCTATATTAAGTCTTTGATTTTCATGATTTAAAGAACAGTTTTCGTGTCACTATCTACTTAACTAGACTACTAAATCGTGCACTCTGTATTGAAAATTATAGGAATGTCAGTGGTGCTGTTCTGCAGCAAATCGAACCAGGAAAAGGCCGTGACACTCTTGGAACAAGTTTGTCCAAAATTCCCATCCATCAATTTCCTCAAGGTTTGTTTGCTTTAGCTAGCATTATACAACATGTACCTGTTTTTCAAAGCATAGACTAAAATATGGTCAATAATCTCAATATGAACATATTTGTTTGCATTCAAAGTACAAAAAACATGCTTGAAAATGATGTGATGTGATAATTAATTTGTAAACAGACTTCAACCGTACTTGATAAGCTAGACAGGAAGGTATGTACTGTGTTTATTTAACTTGGACGACTCTTTGTCAAGGAATTTTTGAGTCAACGCCGTGTCATATAACATATTCAACGCTTGCATTTAAAGCAACCAAATATTGCACATTGTCTTAAATAATACAGAAGGAACAAAACAATATTCCTTATTTGGTAGGAGATGAATACTACGAAGTATATTTTGTTTGTTGCAAGTACATTGTAATTAGATGTGCCAAATGGATTGGTCAGATCGATTTTGGTTTAGTCTGATTCGGTTTGGATCATATATAGGTGATAAGTCACAATTAGTTCAGGATTTGTCAATTTGGGTCTATTGAACTTTTATTATTAACATGAATCAAGCTAAATTAGTCCTACATATGTTAATGTCAGATCACTTTTGATCTAAGTAATCGGATACGAGTCAGTTTTGTCACGTTTTATTGTATGAATTATAAAAACCAATCAATAATAGTCTTACATATGCCAAGTGTTGATAAGTATTAGGTGACTCGTACTTCGTTGCTTTGTCCGCCCGATCGGGCGGACATTACCCGGTCTGACCGGGCGGAAGAAGAAGAGGTGCCTGGCAAATTCGTTGAAGAAGCTGCTCTCGCGCCCGACCGGGCGAGCCTTCGCCCGACCGGGCGAGCCTTCGCCCGATCGGGCAGACCTTGCCCGGTCTGACCGGGCGGTGGGGGTTGGATACGTTGAAGCATTCGTATGGAGTTTTCTTCTCGCGCCCGATCGGGCAGACCTTGCCCGGTCTGACCGGGCGGAGAAGGAAAAATACGGAACGCGGATTTTGCGGTTTTAGGTTATCTTATTTTATTATCTTTTTTGCCCAAGTATCTTTTAATTAGGGATTAATATAAAACCTCCCTAATATCAGTATTAGGGTTAAGAGAGACAGAGTGAGAGCCGTTCTTGAGAAATACAAGAATCATCTTTGTAATCTTTGCAGTTTATAGTGAAATCATTCGATCTCGGTGCCCGTGGACGTAGCTATCACATCGATAGTGAACCACGTAAATTCTTGGTGTTGTTCTTATTGTTTGCATTGAATTTCTTTATTGTTTTCTTGTTTGTTTTCGACCTTTGCTTCCGCTGTCGCACAACAATTGGTATCAAGAGCTCAGGTTCAATCCTTGGAGAGTTTCTTGAAGATAACAATGGCAGGAGATTCAACAATAAGAATTGAGAAGTTTACCGGGAAAAATAGTTTCGGGCTATGGCAAATTAAGATGAAGGCTCTGTTAAAACAACAGCAGATATGGCGTCCGTTGGCTCCAAAGAGTACTACTTCGGAGTCAGGAGACGGACCGAATGACTCGCAGTTAGAAGTTATGGAAGAGAAGGCACACTCTACCATATTACTTAGTCTTGATGATCAAATCATCACGGAGGTTGCTGATCAGGAAACGGCGGCTGGATTGTGGCTGAAGCTGGAGTCATTGTATATGACTAAGTCGTTGACCAACAAATTATTACTGAAACAGCGGTTGTTTAGCCTCCGGATGCAGTCAGGTACTTCCTTACGGGAACATCTAGAAAAAACTTAACTCTATTTTGCTTGATTTACGTAATTTAGATGTTAAAATTGATGATGAGGATGCTGCGTTGATTTTACTTGTATCTCTACCGTCTAGCTTTGAGAATTTTGTAGAGTCTTTTGTTGTTGGTAAGGATTCTATAACCTTAGAAGAAGTGAAGGCAGCACTTCATACTAGGGAACTCAGAATGAAAGCTACGAGTGATAATGGGGATAATGGTAGTGGGTTATTTGTTAAGTCCGGAAAGTCTAAAAAGAATAAGGGGTTTAACAAGGGGAACAATGCTGGGTCGGGTGCTGGAAACGGCAAGGATGGATCTAGTAAAACTACTACTAAAACATGTTATTACTGTAAAGAACCGGGTCACTTTAGGAATAATTGTCCGGTGAGGAAAAACAAGTCCCAGGCTGCTGTAGTTGAAGAGAAACCGAATGAGAGCTATAATTCAGAGGAAGATTTAGCATTAGTCAGTTCTGCTAGGTCTGATGATTTATCTGATAACTGGGTTCTAGATTCGGGGTGTTCGTTCCATATGTGTCCACGTCGAGATTGGTTTGATACATATGAACCTCGCAATGGGGGTATGGTTATAGTCGGTAACAATGCTCCATGTAAGGTCACAGGTATTGGTTCCATGAGGTTGAGGACTGTTGATGGGCGGAGGTTAACTTTGACTAATGTACGGCATGTTCCTGCTTTAGGAAAGAATCTGATTTCATTGGGTACCCTGGATGAATTGGGGTACAATGGTGTGTTTTCAGATGGGGAGTTGTGTATTTTCAGAGGTTCTGAGTTGGTACTTAAGGGTATCAAAAGGAACACCCTCTATGTTTTTGAGGGTGTTACACTGCCTAGTTCTGCGGTTTGCGCATCTGTATCTCACCAGGAGATGACTAAGATTTGGCACATGAGGCTTGGTCATATGGGGGAGAAGGGGATGCAGCTATTGTCCAAGAGGGGTCTTCTATCCGGGGTCAAGGTTGCCAACCTTGAATTTTGTGAGCATTGTGTGTTTGGTAAGAAACACAGGTCAAAGTTCAGCAAGGGTGCTCACATTACTGATGCAGTGCTCGATTACATCCATTCAGATTGCTGGGGTCCATCTAGAGTTGAAGGTATGGGAGGTTACCACTATTTTGTGTCATTTGTTGATGACAAGTCCCGATACACATGGCTTAGGTTGCTTAAGTCAAAGGATGAGGCCTTCAAAGTTTTCAAGCAATGGAAAGCTTTGGTGGAAAATCGACAAGGAAGGAAGATCAAGAAGCTACGAACGGACAATGGGCTAGAGTTTTGCAAAGACGAGTTTAATCAGTTCTGTGCAGATGAGGGTATAGGTCGGCATCATACTGTCAGGAAGACACCACAGCAGAACGGTGTAGCAGAACGGGTTAATCAGACACTGCTAGAGAGAGTTCGATGCATGCTCTCTAATGCAGGGCTTGGGAGGAGGTACTGGAGTGAAGCTGTGTTAACAGCTTGTTATGTCATTAATAGGGGTCCTCATTCTGGAATTGATTCCAAGATTCCGTTTGAGATCTGGAGTGGTAAGTTGCCTAATTTTTCGAATTTGAAGATTTTTGGTTGTGTTGCTTATTATCATGTTATTGAGGGTAAGCTGGATCCACGAGCCAAGAAGGGGTGTTTTGTTGGGTACGGGGATGGTGTGAAGGGGTTTAGAATTTTTTCACCTTCGGAGGGTCGGGTCATTCTTAGTAGGGATGTTACTTTCGATGAAAACACCATGTATTCAATTAAAAATGCAGAGATTTCAGATTTGAGAAGGGAAGGAGACAATTTATTACAGACAGATGGGGTACTTGAGGTACATCAGTCTACCATTGCTGATTTACCTCGGGTACAATATATTGATGATGATGCTGATGTTCCAGTGCCGGGTACTCCTGAACCTGAGATTACTCCTACTCATTCTAACTCTGGGGATGAGGTGGAGCAATCTAATCAGGGGTCATCTAGTCAACCTGACACCATTCTTGAGATGCCTAAACGAGTTATCAAGAAGCCTGTTAGATTGATTGAAGAGATGGAGGGAAGAAATTGCTGTGTTGATGCGATGACAGGTTATGCATTGAGTGTAGCTGATGATGTAGAGTCATTTGAACCTGCCACATATAAACAAGCAATTAGTTGTAGTGAGTCTGCGCAATGGCTTGCCGCAATGGGTGAAGAGATGCAGTCTCTTTACAAGAACAGAGTGTGGGAACTGGTAAAGGTACCGGAAGGGAGGAAGCTTGTGGGTTGTAAATGGATTTACAAGAAGAAAGAAGGGTTGTCGGAAACTGAGCAAATACGTTTTAAGGCTAGGCTAGTTGCTAAGGGGTTCAGTCAGGTAGAAGGGGTTGATTTTGTTGAGATATTCTCACCTGTGGTTCGACATACTTCTATCCGTGTGTTATTGTCAATTGTAGCACATTTTGATCTTGAGCTGGAGCAGTTGGATGTTAAAACGGCTTTCCTTCATGGCGATTTGGAGGAGGAGATTCTGATGAAGCAGCCCGAAGGATTCGAAGTTCCTGGAAAGGAACACTATGCCTGCAGATTGCTAAAGTCATTGTATGGACTTAAGCAATCCCCCCGACAGTGGTACAAAAGGTTTGATTCTTTTATGGTTTCACAAGGTTTTGACAGGAATTCATATGATTGCTGTGTGTATCATAGTAAGCTGGATAATGGTTCCATGATTTATCTTTTGTTATATGTTGATGACATGTTGGTTGCCACAAAGAATAAATCTGATATTGCTAGATTAAAGGAGATGCTTAACTCGGAGTTTGACATGAAAGACTTGGGTGCAGCTAGGAAGATTTTGGGTATGGAGATCTACAGGGATCGGGCTAGAGGTAAGCTTTTCTTGACTCAGAAAAGCTACATTGAAAAGATTTTGTCTCGTTTTGGGATGGAAAAATCGAAGCCTATAAGTACGCCAACTACTGTTAGTTGTAAGTTGTCTTTGTCTATGTCACCTCAATCAGAGGAGGAGTTGTCTTATATGTCTAGAGTTCCATATGCAAATGCGGTTGGTTGTTTGATGTATGCTATGGTCTGTACTAGGCCGGATATTGCGCATGCCGTTAGTGTTGTAAGCAGGTTTATGGCTCGACCTGGGAGGGAACACTGGCAAGGGGTGAAAAGGATTTTTCGCTACCTGAGAGGGACAGCTGATATTGGTCTTGTGTACGGGAATGATAAGGAATGCTTGGTCACTGGGTACAGTGATTCTGATTATGCAGCTGATGTGGATACCAGGAGGTCTGTGACTGGTTATGTGTTCACTTTGGGTGGTTCTGTGGTTAGTTGGAAGTCTACATTGCAGTCATCAGTTACGTTGTCAACTACTGAAGCTGAGTATATGGCTTTAACTTCTGCAGCTAAGGAGTCTATTTGGCTCAAAGGCCTAGTAGGTGAACTGGGTATTGCACAGGATTTTGCTACAGTGTATTGTGATAGTCTAAGTGCGATTTGCTTAGCTAAAGATCAAGTACACCATGATCGGACGAAGCACATTGATGTCAGGTATCATTTCTTACGTACTGACAAGAGGATTAAGGTGAAGAAGATTGGGACTGCTGACAACCCGGCTGATTTCTTCACTAAGCCTGTTCCGTTTAGCAAGTTTAAACATTGCTTAGACTTGTTAAATATTGATTACTACGTGATGTAGTAGGCCCTGAGGGGCGAAGTTGGGGAGCTCCTGGTGTAGGTGTGTTGGCATTAAGGTGGAGCTTGCCCGGGGCTTGTGATGCAGGTGGAGCATTATGAGTTGTTATACTTGGAGACGAGTATGTGATGGGTCTTGGTTGAAGACTTATCGGGATGTATGGCTTATGCATGAGTCTTGCATCGGGTTTGGCTTGAGATGTTTTTCACTATGTCTTGATGGGGTCGTTTGCTGACTACGAGTTCTCGTCAAGGTGGAGATTGTTGATAAGTATTAGGTGACTCGTACTTCGTTGCTTTGTCCGCCCGATCGGGCGGACATTACCCGGTCTGACCGGGCGGAAGAAGAAGAGGTGCCTGGCAAATTCGTTGAAGAAGCTGCTCTCGCGCCCGACCGGGCGAGCCTTCGCCCGACCGGGCGAGCCTTCGCCCGATCGGGCAGACCTTGCCCGGTCTGACCGGGCGGTGGGGGTTGGATACGTTGAAGCATTCGTATGGAGTTTTCTTCTCGCGCCCGATCGGGCAGACCTTGCCCGGTCTGACCGGGCGGAGAAGGAAAAATACGGAACGCGGATTTTGCGGTTTTAGGTTATCTTATTTTATTATCTTTTTGCCCAAGTATCTTTTAATTAGGGATTAATATAAAACCTCCCTAATATCAGTATTAGGGTTAAGAGAGACAGAGTGAGAGCCGTTCTTGAGAAATACAAGAATCATCTTTGTAATCTTTGCAGTTTATAGTGAAATCATTCGATCTCGGTGCCCGTGGACGTAGCTATCACATCGATAGTGAACCACGTAAATTCTTGGTGTTGTTCTTATTGTTTGCATTGAATTTCTTTATTGTTTTCTTGTTTGTTTTCGACCTTTGCTTCCGCTGTCGCACAACACCAAGGTCTAGTCACTTTTGTATAAGTAATCGGATATGGGTCAGTTTTGTCACACCTTAACGTGTAACTTTTAAATTGCGAGCTATTACGATAATGTACATGTACACAATCAGGTGGAAGTGGAAGATCACCCATACTTGGTAAAGTCAGAGGAAGTAACAAACATTCCTGCCTTCAAAATCTACAAGAATGGAACAAGAGTCAGAGACATACCAGGAAACAACCTTGAACTACTACAGAATTCAGTTAAATTGTACAGCAGCTGAAAATCAGACAAATTACAAGACAAGAAAACAAACAGCAACAACACAAAATAATCAAAAATGGGGCGGCTGATTATTGAATTGGTGGCTAAGATTATTAGCCCCCACCTGAACAGAACTTCTGCCGCTTCAATCAATTCAAAGAAGATACTCAATCATATTATTACCGACATTCTTTAAGAATTATAAAAGATGGAAGCAAGCACAGCATTGCAGCAAAGGAAGAACCCTACATGTTTGATTTTGGCAAAAGATTTTGGCGAAATCTTGTATGAGTATGAGGCGAGCTTGCAATAATTTATTGTAAGACCGAAGTGATTATATGTTTAAAGAGTGATTTCCTATCTTTTTAGGGAGTTTTTTTATTTTAAAATTAAATGTCTTATTTTTACTACATCCTTCCTTGCCCATGACTTGTTGCTAAATGTAAAATATATTACTATCGTTTCTAAATGATAGATTTAACTACTTCGTATTATAGTAACAAAGTCCAATGATGATAGGAGAGACTGAGAGAATTTAGAAAGTGGGACATATGTTGAAAAGCATAAGAGAAAGTCATCAAAGTATGTTTTTGTAAAAAAATGTGTCGTATCACTTATAAGTGAGGTTTGTGTAAGAAAAAGTTACCAAACTAAAATTATTAAAATGTAAAAATGATAAAAAGAGAATGGTATAAAATGGATGGACGTAAAAGACATACGGGATTAACTAACAAAAAGGAACCAAGTTAGCACGAAGAATCGACACTAAATCTAAGTGTTATTATGATAAGGAAAGAAGACAAAATTAATTAATTAAGTTTAGAGGGAAATTAGGGATTTATTAGTTTGTAGGGAATTGTTTATTTGGTGGTCGGGGTTGCTTCTACTTTTCTTTTCTCCTACTTTTAACTGAAAATATAGCATATGAATTATTGATTTGATACCAAAGATTTTGATGTATTTGTTTAGAGTAACAATAGTATTTAACTATTAATTATCTTAAAGCACTTGTGTAGTGGGTTAGTTTTTCTTGTTAAAACATGGCTTTTTATAATTTTTTGTTTAGTGATAGCTTTTTTAAACAATTCTAAGGGTGTATCTGGACAAAATGGCAAATTATGTTTGATTAATCAGAACATTTGTTTAGCTATATAGTCATTGATGACCTATATTTTTTCTGTTTCATAAAGGAGAATCAGTTCCCTTATTGTATACATCTTCTCTGACCCACAATTTTTGTATTTTTATTCATTTTGATGTCTTGTTTTATTGGCGTTAGTAATGACATTTTTCTATATACAACCAGTAATAATGTATTGTGATTGAATTTAATTCATACTGATTCTTATTGTAGACATGATTGAAATTTGAGACATTATGTTCAATTTAAAGTTAATTTAGGTTGTCTGTTGTCAATTAACTGATTCTTATTAGTTTACTGACTCAATTTGAATTGAGATGATTTTAAATTGATTACACATGTTTATATTTTTGTGTAAAGTCGTAATGTAAAGAACAAATAGTGTAAACCAAATTTGAATATTGAATTCATAACTTGAGTACCATCTTCTGTTAAGGTAGTTGACGTCCAATAAAGATGAGTATCATTATAGAAGATGGGTTAGTTGAAAAATTGGCTTGCTGTGAGTTGTGACAGAATGTAAAAATTCAAGTTTGATGCAAAGTTGATACTTGTATAATTATAAGGGAAAATCTTAGTCTTTCTTCCAAAAAAAAAAATAAAAAAAAAAAAATTAAACAAATAAATCTTAGTCCATATTCAATAACATCAAATGAACATAATTGAATGACATGAATGACACAGCCGAACTGAGTTTAGGCCCAATAGATATACAGGAAAAGTAACACTAGTCATCGTAAGTAGTCTGGCCCAACTATATAATGGGCTTAGCTGATAAATATTACTCCGTATACACCTTTCGAAAGCAATAAGTCTTAGCTGCATCCTGGAATAGCTGCACCACGTCCTATAAATGAACATGATGGAAAAAAAATATGAGCATGTATAAAAAAAAAAATGTACATTTAGTAATAAAAAATGAACACGTAAAAAAAATGAAGTATTTAATACTAAAAAGTGAATACAATAAAAAAATATATATATATATGATAAGTTAATATATTAAAAATGAACATGATTATTATATAATTATAAAATTGTTGGACCACGGCCTTGAAAATGAACATTTAGTAAAAAAAATGAGCTCATAAAAAAATGAACATTTAGTAATAAAATGAACACGTAAGAAAATAGTACATTTAGTGAACACGTCAAAAAAATATGAACATTTAGTATATTAAGTATGAATATCTAGTATATTAAATATGAGCATTCATCATACAATCATAAAATAGTTGGACCTGCCTAATTAAATGAACATTTCATAAAAAATATATGAACACGTTAAGGAAAAAAAAAATAGAACATTTAGTACCTAAAAAAATGTATAAAAATGAACACATCCAAAAAAAAATTTAAACATTTTGTACATTAAAAATGAACATGATTTTCATATATTCATATAGGTTCAAATTTATTGTATATAATTATTAACCAAAAATAAAGATAAAATAAATTGTTAAAATATGTTCATTTTTTATGTACTAAATGTTCATTTTGTATTAAATATTCATTTTTAAAGTATTACGTGTTCACTTTTTTTACATAAATTATACACAAATTCGATTGTAATTACTTAACTCTATAAATTTGAATATCCACCTTAATCTAATTTTGGTTCATCATAGAGAAAATAATTATTAATATTACTACAAATAAGCACTACAAGAAAACAGCTCATTTTCGACGGAAAAATTCCGTCAAGAACACCCTGTTTTCCGTCGAAAAACTTGTTTCCAACGGAAATTCCGTCGGAACTAGTTGTCGGAAAAAAACGACTTTTTCGGAACAGTTTTTTCTGACGGAATTTTTTCGTCGGAAGAGGTTTTCTGGCACCTGAAAAGTCCATCATAAATTTCTGACGGACACAATTCCGCTGGAAAATGCTGAAAAAAAAAATAAAAGAAAAAAGCCCCACCCCTAAACCGTACCCCACCCAGATCCACCACACCAGCCCCGTAACCCACCCAGATCCACCACCAAATTAAAACCCGTAACCCATAACCCCAACTTCCTACCACCGACACCACCAAAAATTAACCCCCATTTCCCAAACCACCACCAACACCAACCCTAAACCCCTATCCAACCTTCACACACCACCACCGACACCACCACACCAAAAACTCAAAAAATCGAAAATTAACCCCAAAAAAAACAAAAATTAGCCTCAGAATACGAAAATTTACACAACAAAATCGAAAAATACCACACACAAAAAAATCAAACCAGTAAATCTACATATTTAATCAGAATTTCATACAAAATTAAAAAAAAAAACGATAATTAAACAGCAAAAATTAAAGGAAATATATAAATATACAATTATCTAATAAAATTTATAAATTAACATTACAATTACATAAAAAAAATTAACTATATATACAATCTAACCTAAATTAAAACTAGATCTACAAAACAAAAACCTTGAGTGGGGGGCTCGTCGCTGTTGTTGCGCCGTTGTTGTTGCGTCGTTGTTGTTGGTTGTTGACGTTGGTGGTTGTTGGAATTGACGGTGGTGGTTGATCGATGTAGTGTCGTTGTTGTTGTTGATGGAAAGGAGGATGGAGAAATAGAAGAGGAGGATGGAGAGAGAGAAGATCGAGAAAGAAGACAAGAGAAAGGGGAGGGGGAATGAAGGAGAAGAAGATCGGAGGAGGAGTGAAGGAGAAATCAAGAAGAAGAGGAAAGAGAAGAGGAGAGGAGAGAGAAAGAGAAGGAGAAAGGGGAAAGAGAGTGGCGGAAATGAGGGGGGGAAGTTTGGGCTATTTTAGGGTTTGGGTTTTAAAGGGTTTTGTTATTTTTTTTTTCTTTTTTTTTTAAATAAGATTTCGACGGAATTTTCCGTTGGAAATGACCTTTTCCGACGGAATTTCCCGTCGAAAAGTACAAATATTCCGACAAAATATAAATCCGTCGTAATATATGGGCTTTTCGACGGAATATTCCGACGAATTTTATTTTTGATGGAATAGTCCGTCGGAAAGCCCATATATTCCGTCAGAATTTTCCGACTGATTTCCTACGGAATAAAAATCCGTCGGAATTTCTTATTTTTCCGACGGAAATACGTGTCCGTCGAAAACTGTCCGTCGGAAATCGGCCTATTTCTAGTAGTGAAGGATGTTCATCACAAATTCATCATATATTACAAATTGACAAAATATACAAAAATTAAATATGCAATATCAATCACAAATTCAAAAAATATAATTTAATGTAATCAAATTATAAATCAATAAATAAACTAACCTATATCAACAATCTCTTCAAGAATACCAATTAGGTCCATCATGAATCAATGAAATTACACAAATTAGTGGCGAGAGAAAATGTTAGTTTAAAGAAGAAAACAATGTAAAAAAACAGAGGGGAGAGATAATTTTAAACAAAATTAAAAATTATGAAAAGAATTAAAAAATTAAAAGAGGGAAACATGTACATAAAAATTAAGAAATAAGGAAAAAAATAAGCAAAAAAGAAGAAGATTGAACAAAGAGAAGTATACACAGTGTATGTGTGTTTTTGTGTATAAATATTGATGGTTGATGCAGCTAGCTTAGACGCACTAGGATGCATCTAAGAATTTGCCAAAAGACATGCAGTCTTCAAGCTCTTTAAAATCTCATCAATCATTTTTATTCATTTTTTTTTTTGAAGTTAGTAGTTTAAATTCATACTCCTATACTCTTACTGTTTCAAAATAATTGACACATTCAAACTTAAAACACATCTCAATGCACTAGTTTAACCTTAGGTATATATAATTCAATAATATTATAAAATATATTTTGAAACTTTATTTTAATACTTATTTAAAAACATATTTCATGATACATATTTTTCGTACATTACTAATAAGTTATGATTAAAGTTAATACTTGGTATATAAATAGTGAAAAAGTCTAACTTGTTAATAATTTTGAGATAAAGGAGAACTATACACGAAGTAGAAGAGTGGTGTATAAAAACTTTTTACGGAGTACAATTTATAATGCTAATCCAGCAAAGACCCCTTAGATTTGTAAGATGTATAATTATAAGATAAATGTATCCTTCTTTTCAATTTATGTCACATAGCGCACCTAAGGCATGGAAAAGCTCATCCCCTTGTTGCCGCGGGTAGCCTATAACACTTAAGTTTTTGCCGCGGTTAGGTTGTTGAGTAATATGTCCTCTTATTTCAATTTAAGAATAGCCGCATGTAAGTCGTGGCTAGCTCTGTAAGCAGGTTATGGGGAAATGAGATTTCTTTCATGCATGTAGTATTTGTTGATTTGATAAGCTCCATATTGAATGAATGATTATGAGTGGTTAAACTAGCTATTCTCTAGTTGTTATTCTGACTTTGTTGTGACTTTTGAGGTTACAATGAAGTCATTTGAAAAGATATTGGGTTTGTTCTTCATTTTTTACTGATTAGAATTTGACTTCTTGGAATAATCCTAAGAGCGATTATGTGTCTATTTTTTTTACAATTTTTTTCAGCTATATATCTTCCACCATGAATCGCAACTACACAAGCAAGTATATTCACAATTTTAAATATCTTCTCTTCTATACCCTTTTGGGCATAAATTTTATGACTCCAAACTTTCACCCTCGGACGTCTTATTGTGAGGCGGTGTGTAGAACTTAGAAAACAGATCAAAACAATCGGCGAATAAAGTGTCCACCCTTGCAAGTCAGTGGTTACCAAACTCTAGACATTGTTGCTTTAAAGTTTTGAACACATGTGACCTTTAATATTGAATATTCTAAAAATCTTAACTTAGCCCCTAATGTATCGACTTATTTTAAGTTATATTAGAAAGGATAAATTTTAATAAGTTCATACAATAAAAGTTTGTTATTTGACTTATTTTTGAAGCTGAGATTTACATGTTAGAAATACTTAAGAAATTTAATGCGGAAATAAACCTTAAGCAAGAATCGAATTTGATACAATACATACCATTAGATGAAGATGAAGCCATAATATGCACTTTTCCTTTGAATGAACTTTATTGATGATGAAGAACACACCAAACCCTTCTCCTCTCTCTCTAACTTAATTACTGGATGTTTTTATTTTGTGTCCTTAGTGATGGAATGAAAAAACAAAGTTAGTCTCATAAAAGAAGACATAACTCTTATATATATATATATATATATATATATATATATATATATATATATATATATATATATATATATATATATTATGTTTTATATGTAATCCAGTTGCCTTAATAGAGAAGAGCAGAGAGCCCGGTTTTAGTCGGATAAAACCAACTATCTTTTATATCAATAACTGTTATCTTTTATTAATTATTTATAAAATAATTAATCGGCTAAGTAGTCCAATCCATCAAAGGACACTTATCTTTTATACAGTATTGATTTGATATGAGCATTTCTGTAATTGGATATATGTATTAACTTAAATAGTGGGATTTACTTGATTAAAACAATAGATTAGCGGGTCACCCACTTGACACGTAATGTGGAAATTACATTGCATACTCTAGATAATCAAATTCAAAACCTAAATACTTGTAGTATAATTTTTTTTGAAGAATACTTGTAGTATATGTGACTTAATTTCATTTAACTCTAATTTACTTTTATCTTTATATCATATTGACTTGTAATTTTTTTTATAAGTGACGCCATTTAAGTTAATAAATACGGAGTAATAACATTGAAAGTACCACAATTTGACCCTACTTAGTGGAAAAAGTCTATCTTTAATGTGGGATATATCATATAATCATATCTTACAACTTTTATGTGAACAACGTAACAAACCAAGTGTATACAGTGCAACACAAATTAAAACAATCAATCGTTGGCAGTGCAAAAAGATGAAATCAAAAACATGAACAAAGCCTTAAAAGCAGGAGATATATAGTAAGATAGGATGTTGCCATAATCATTATCAATAATTAAGCCACCAAATTACCCTACTTTGACCCCTCTAATTATTCTAAATTAATGCTTCATTGAGCTGGAAATTTTTTGTAAAAAAAAAAAAAAAAAAAAAAAAAAAGGCAAAGTTGCAATTGCTAAAAAGTGTGAACATGAAGCAACAATCGCACTTACTTTGCATATGCCAAAAGTAGAAGTTTGGGCCTCATCTATTAGCCTGTCTTTTATTTTATAAAGTTAACAATTGATCATATGAAACCTTTGATGCATTTACTACTCAGTACTTGTAAAACAATGAGAGTTTGCCAGACCTGCCATCATAAGTGGCATGAGGATGAATGAATGATTTCTTACCATTTTGCAAAAACATGTGAATCAAAATGTGAAATGGGTGGTCTATGTTTGTTGATATGCCACTTTATTTTGCTATCGTAAACATTGAGGGGGTGTTTGGTTAGTGTATATTTTGGATTGGAAACGGATTCAATTAAACCAATAACGTTACCTTGTGTTTGGTTTGAAGGCATGGTAACAATTACCGTTACCTAAGGGTAATGATTACCCCTTATTTGTTACCTCTCAAAAACTTGGGGTAACAAATACCCTTGCCCTCCTCTTAACAAATACCTTTTCTATGTTTAATCCAAACAAATGAAAAGGCAATAGCTAAATGATTCCCTTCCTCTCTCTTATTTGTTTCCTTTCCACTCCGTTTTCACTTTTCGAACCAAACGCCCCCTAAGTTTCGATTTTAGAAACCGGTATGTTATCATCACAAAGGAAAGTTTGTACAAACTTGGCTTCAGTGGGAGCAATCCGCCGGATTCATTGTTTTCAATTATTAATAATAAATTGTTACGAAAGTAATACTATTATGTTAATGAGTTTTCAACTACTCGTATAATTTTAAGCATATTGAGTTGGGATTTCCAAATATATCTAACAAATTGAAAGAAGCCAGAGAAAAACTATTTTGATCTTATAATTTATTTTACTAAATAGGGACACAAGATTAAATAAACATAAGCAAAATTGCATAATTACAGTGGATATACCATCATATATTGCTCTGTTCCAGTTGGTACTTTGAGATATTGTCCAACTTACAAAGAAATCAGTAACTGTACAAGATCTTATAATAAAATACAAATCCCACAAAAAAGAAAAAAAAAACACTTTGGTAAATTGAAATTTTGCAACCCTCAAGTAAAAATAAAAATAAAATCCCACAAATTTTCTTATTTTTATTAGTAAGTAAAAATTATTTTACTAAAAAAAAAAAAAAAAAAAAAAAAAAAAAAACAGAGGACTGAAGATCACCTTCTCCAACTTCTACTCCTGGAAAAAGGATCTTTGAATCCTCCAACAACCCAAGTTTCCTGAGAAATTTCAGTTGACAAATTATAAAATTCTGCATCATACTTCATCAAAATTGCCAAACTTTCTCTTTTCTTTTTCTTATTCAAATTTTCCTCTTCCTCTGTTTTTTCTTCCTCTTCTTTAGCTTCAATTTCTTTCTCCTCTAGCCAACTCTTTGCAGGAGCAGACCTACACCTCATCAGTAACAAAGCATTCGGTGGCGGCACGGCCGGAACACATTCATCATCATTCTCTATATTCTTCTCTTCTAATACTGATTTATTACTATTTTTAGTAACATCTTTACCCTCATTTTCCTCTTGTAATACCATAAACCATTTAGAAAACACTGCCTTATTACTATTATTAGTAACAATGTTGTTTTCCTTATCATCTTCACCAATATTGAATTCGTCGTCTTCGAATGTTTGATCTTCTTCATCTTCATCTTCCTCATCATCTGAACTAATAATATTAGACTGAGGAAACGCTCCGAAACACCGGAAATCAAACCTTATATTCCTTAAACAAGTAAGAAAACTCATAACATCTTTCTTAAACCCAAACCCTTCAACCCATTTTGATTTCTTCTTGGTTTTTCCACGATTATGAATCCTCTCAATTTCCTCCATTACAGATTGCCAATTCTTACAACCACTTGAAGAACTGGGCCTTACTTTAATCTGCCCTGCACAGGTGACTTTAGGCGAAGTCGGCTCGGCTATCTCCGGCCTCAATTGGTTGTTTTTAGCCCATACAAGAGGGCTGTTTGGCCCTCCGGAGGCGGCACTTGAAGTTCGAGTGTTGATCCTCTTGAGGTGGTGGTTGTGGTGGTGGCGTTTCGAGGGTTCGGAACCTCTAGCAGGGCTGCAAATGGGTTTAGGCATGAGTGTAAGATGGGTTCTTGAAGGAAAACATACTAAGAAATCTGCTGATTGTGTTGCACCTCCT